GTAGTTTGCCGCCACCTCGGACGGGGCGAACGTGGAAAGGAGCATCTCCCACGGCGTCCGGTCGTTGTGGCGGGCAAGGACAGTGAGCCAAGGGAAGCTAGGCGCCCGTCGTACGAATCGCAATGGTCAACCTCAGTGCCCCCTAAGAGCCCCGGCGTGCGTGCCGACAGCCGGGCTTTTTTCCAGACGCACCCCCCGGCGTCGCAAGCCAGAGGCCTAAAATCAAGAGTCGGAGGTAGACTGGCCCCCCGACGTGGAGGAGGCATCCTCTCGCCCCTGCCGACCGTTGGAGGTTTCGCCGGAAGAAGAGCCGTGAACCGAAGCCGGGCTAGGCGACCCCGGCTCCTGGCGGTGCCGAGAGCCTAAAGAACTGGCGGCAGCCATAGGGCCACCCGCACCCAGCCGCTTTCCAGGCGGCCCTGTCCGCCATGGCCTCCTGAGTGTCCGGTCTGTGCACTCGCCTGGTCCTGGCGAGGTATACATAGTGCTGGCCGGGGCCAAATCTGGCACACACTCAAAGGCCGGACCCTGGGTGGGCCGTCCTCTGACGCCCTTTCCTGGCGGGCTCTCTTGGGCGGATGCCCCGCCCCGGCCTGGGAGCCCGGGCGTCTGGCCGGACCCAGCGCGCGCCACGGCCCCGGCGCCAGCACCAAAGGTGCTGCCTGCGTGTACTGCTCGATGGCCCTGGAAGACCAGCGGCCCAGAAGCTGGCTAACGGCCAAAGGGATGCCCTTGGCGGCCAGGAAGGTGGCGCCCGCCACCCGGCAGGCGTGGCCTCCGAAGACGTTCTTTTCCGCCCCGGCGTGGTCCAGGGTAGTGACCAGCGGCACGCAGGACCGCGTTCAGGCAGTCTTCTTTAGACCTGGTCCCCCCCCCCCGGCGGCACCCAGCCGGCGCATGTGGCGGCGCGCCGCATGTACCGGGCAAAGCGGGTGAGTCGTCGCCCCACAGGCGCAGTGGAGAGATCTGCGGGTGAGCGTCCTCTCGCCGCCCTGAGCCGTCTTGTGGATGGGCAGGTCCAGGACGACCTCCACCCTCATGATGACCATGTCGCCCACCCGGGCGGCCGCGACCTCAATCTCGCGCAGCATAAACCAGACGGCGAGGATATAAACATCCACCGAGTGGGCCGGGCGAGTTATGTCAAAGGGCTCGGCGTCGGCGAAGGCGACCAGCGGCACCAGGGCGACGACGGGGAAGGCCTCTGGGAGACCCCGGACCACGGACTAGCCAGGCGCCGCAGGAGCGGACTCCTTGGCGCTGCGATAGGCGCCCTTCTTGAAGCCCGCCCCGATGACCTCGAGGACGTGCGCCGAGACAGGCCAAGGGGCGACCTCGCCCTCGTAGGCGAGCCTGTTCCAGGTTTTGAGGCGCGACTCATATGGCCCCCGCGTCGTCTTGGCCAACATGTCGCCCCGGAGCTCGGCGATGGCCCTCTTGACGTTGGCCGGGCGAACCGCCTCAACGGCAGCTGCCAGGGAAGCCCGGGCCTCCGTTCTCCGAGCTGGCAGGTCCGGCCTGTCGGGGCCGGCCGCCACCAGGGCCAGCGCCGACACCGCCCCGGCGTCGGAGGGGCAGCCAGGATGGCCTCAAGGGCCTCAGGCGGCAGGCCGGCCGCCACCAAGTCGTCGTGGCTGCCAGTCAGACCCTGGATGTTCCGCACCCCTGCGCGAGCGGAGACGGCGGGCGAAGAAGATCGAGGCCAGGCGAACTTGTAATCGGCGAGCTAGTCCTCGAACCGCAAGCTGGGGCGCTCCGGCAGGCGTCGCACTCATGGTTTTCGTGCGGACGCCCGCCCACCGGCGGGAAGCATATGCGGAGGACGACCCCCTTGGAACCCCGACTGCGGATCAGGGGTCACCGCCCCGCCGCCAGCCGCCTCCCAAGAATTGGCCGCCCAGCCGCGAAGTGCAGGCGGCAAGGGCGTAGTGGCCATCCAGGCGCCGGGCTCGTGCAGCGGGAAGCGAAACTCGGCCCGGAGATAGGCCTCGTAGTAGCCGGCGTGGGGCGACCCGACGCCGCGCGAGGATGAGTATCCTCAACCACCGCCCGGCGAGGCGCCGGATGGGCCTCCTCTGGCGGCGGGGGTCCTGACGCCCTGTCCGCCTGTGTGGCCTGGCCCCCCGGCGGCCGAAGGCTGCTGGGCGGGCGGCGGGCCCATGGCGCGTTGCTGCCATCTCCCGCTCGATGCTGGCGGCCAGGGCGGTGTCGTAGTCCGCTTCCCGCGTCAGCTGGCGCAGCCCCGCCCGGCTCCTGGCGGCCTGCTCCCGCCTGATAAACTCCTGCCCCTGAAACTCAGACGGAGCAGCCTTCCTCGGCCTGGCGGCCGGTGGCGCCGGTTCAGCGGAAGAGGCCGTAGTCGACGAGGGCGTTGTAGAACGACCCGGCGCCTCCTGATCCAACGCCGAGTAGCGCTTTATGGACGGCCCCCGTCGTGGAGCTGCTGGCAGCCACAGGCGGAGCATGTTCAAAGGCCCCGTGCTGGGCAACTCCGCCGGCCTTGGCGGGAAGGGCACCGGCGGTGCCTTGGCCGGCGAGCCGAAGATCGGTCGGGGCCGGCTCCACAAATGGCGGCGGAGGGGCCTTGGCCGCCGCCTTCGGCTTGGCCGCCGTCAGGATCGGCGCGGGCTCACTGCTCCGGTGCCCCCCCCGCAGTCGCCCGGCACGACAGCTGGGCGCTGACCAAGATGTGGCAGCACGCGTGCCGGCACATCGATTGGTTTAGGAGGACTCCCAGGCCCGGGCGGAGGCCTGGGACAGGACCTGGAGCCTCGGCCCCGTCGCGCCACGGGATCGCTGACTGCGGCCGCCGTGTCGAGACACGACGCCGGGCTCTATGTACTGGCCCCCGCCGCCGGTCGAGCGGGAAGGGCTGCCCTGGCGTTGGTGCGTGGTCTGCTGGTGCGGCCGCAACCTCAGCGCCGGGCTGACGAGGAGGACGTCAGTGAGCTGGAGTGATTCTGGGCCCGCGCCGCCGGGCGGGCGGTACAGCCTCATGGCCCGCCCAGGGCCGATTTTCTGGGCAAGCCGGGGGAGCAAAAAGTGTGGCCGCGTCACCGCCGTTTGTTCGCTTCGGTTGGTGCTTGCGCTCGGTGCCTTAGCCTTCTCAAGCTTCCTTGCCGCTCCCGCCTCTGCCCCCTCCCCCGCCCCACCCCTCGACTTGGTCATGGCCGCGCCTTTGTTCTCGGCCACCGCCCTCGTCGACTTCCGCACCCTGGCAGCTGAGGCGCCGGGGCGGGGGACGTCGTGGTGAGATACCTGGGGGCGCGCGGCCTCGTGGTCGACCCACTCCTGGCTGGCTTCCGCGACGGCGTGTCGGGGACCGAGTTCGTGGTCCACGAAGGAGAGCGCCCGGCCGTCCGGGCGGTGCTGCTGCACATGTACCTGGAGGCCAGGACACAGTGGGAGGCTGGTCCGCCCAGCGGGCGGCGGCCATCGGAGCGATCCCGCCCCCGGCGTCTTCTGCGCCGGCCCTCCCGACCCTGCCGCTGCCGCCGGTGGCGGCCGCGGGCCCGCCGCCCAAGTCCTTTGACGCCTGGGGGCCCCTCGTCAAGTCGTATAACGACAAGCTCCTCGACGGCAAGCCCAGGTCTTTCCCCACGAGGCGCCTGGCGGGGGCGGACACGGTGCTCGCCAGGATATATCACGAGCACACCGTCACCAAGTCCTACACGCCGCTCTTGCTAGGCGAGATCCTGGCCGCCAGGACTTGGACTTCAGGAGACGAGCTCAACCGCCTGGCGGTGCCTCAGAAGGAGACCGGCTCCCTGCACATCGTCGGGGGCAACCTGGTTGCGACGGACGACAAGAAGCCGTGGGAACCCCGCGGTGTCATGTCGGTGCTGGACGGACTCGAGGCAGTTCGCCTGGCGTGGATCCTCACCACGGTCGGCGACGAGGGCGACGTCAACGACTACATCGCCGCAAGGTCCGGGCCCGCGCGGCTCACATTGAGAACATAGTCGCCTACTGGACGTCGACGGCGACGACTTTGGCCATGGAGCTGCGCCAGCGGCGCACCTTCAAGGAGGTCACCGCCGACATCATGGCGGATACCTCGGCCTGGTTGGAAGCCATGGCCACGCCGCCGCCCCGCCCCGAGCCCAAGAAGCCCGCCAGGCCACAGCCGCCGCCCAAGGCCGAGCCGGACCAGGGGGCGGACTGGACCCCGCCGACCCCGAAGTGGCAGCGCACGGGGAAGGGGAAGAAGGGGCAGAAGGGCCAAAAGGGCGGCAAGAAGGGAGTCAAGGGCGGCGGCAAAGGTCAGGAGCGCCAGCGCCGCCAGGAAGAGCAGCGCCGCGACCAAGCCTGGGACGACTCCTAGTGGGCGTCCTCTGTTGGGGCTCGGGCTATGACTGGGAATCGCCCGGCCGCGAGCAGGGCGGCCGGGGCGAGAAGAAGCGCACCTACGCGAATCAATGGTGTTAGGGACAGCGCGGGGCCGACGCCGCTGCAGCTGCGCCCGGCCCCCGCCAAACGAGCCAGGCTCAGGCCAAATCGCCCGGAGGGGCGGTCCATCATCGTCCTCTCCGCCTTCGACGGCATCGGCGCGGCCCATTGGTTGGTGGCCAAGTCCTTCGGGCGGCCTCTCCTGGCGGTATGGGTGGAACACAGGGGCGACCTCACATGGGACTCGCCTGTGGCCGACCTGGTCCTGGACGCCGACCCTGACGCCTCCGCCCTTGTCGTTTGGTGCGCGGCGCCCCCGTGCCAGGACTTTTCCCGGATCGGCCAGGGGGCTGGCCACCACGGCGAGAGGGGCAAGCTCTTCCAGGACGTCGTGGAGTTCATGCACCAGCTCCGCGCCAGGTTGCCCAGGCACCGCTTCGGCTTCCTCTATGAAAACGTCGACATGGACCAGGCGGCCGCCAATCAAGGTGCGGGCTCGGGGTCCACCAGCCCGTCTTCGCCTGCCCGTCCGATTTCGGCTGGGTTAATTTCCAGGCCGCGCCTCTGGTGGACCAGCGTGGACTGGGCCAGGTTCCCGGCAGACCCCGACGACGGGACGCCGCTGGAGTGGGCCAAGAAAGGCCGGGGAACGCCTTCGCCTCGCGTCCGCGGACACCTTCGACCTGGGCCTGGACATTTCACCCGTCCGTGGCGACGGGCCGGCGCCTCTTGCCATGCGCCACCACGCCGGCACCCACAGAGGAAGGCCGGCCGAAGCCAAGGGCGACCAGAGGGAAGACGTCCAAGGACACGGACGCCAGGTGGAGCGACGGTGGGCGTCAGTACGCCCCATGGCACTACCAGCTAGAGGCCATGCTTCAGGACAGCCAAGGCGTTCTCCAGTTCTCCACCTGCCCACGGCCGAGATTAAGGAGCAGCTGCACGGCATCCCCGTCGGCTACGCGTCGCAGGCGTTGGCTGACCACAGGACGCGCCGCCGCATGATTGGAAACGGCTGGCACTGGGCAGTGGCCGGCCGCCTCCCGGCTTCGTCGTCCTCTCCGCTTGGGCGGCGCCACTGGCAGAGGCCTGCCAGCTGCCCGCCCGGCCCAAGACCTCAACATTGCAGTGGCTGGCCCAGGCTTGGGCGGGCCGGCCGTGCATGGGACTTCGCTCCCCCGCCCCGACCCTCACCGCCCGTTCTGGGCGAGGGGCTGGACAGGAGCAGCGGGGGCGCCTCTGATGCAACACTCCCTCGCCCGCCGCCCGGCCTTGGAGCCGGGTCTGGGGGCGGTCATTGACCTCCGAAGTCGGTGGACACGAGCTTTGCCGCATTCGCCGAGAGATCGTCGCAGAGCTCCTAGCGATGGTGGAGGAGCGAGAGGACGACACGCGGGCATGGCTCCAGGAGCTGCCCGCCCACGTCAGGGCGACCTATACTACGTCGGACCGCCCTCGGCCCTTCCAGGGGCCTATCTTCCTGGAGCTGCTCAACGACCTGCGCTTGGGCTTTGACATGCTGGGCCCGGTCCGCCACGCGCCAGGATGGAAGCCGCGCGCCGACGGGCGCTATGCTAACCCCTCTGGCCTGGACCGTTTGCGTCAGGACAACCCGGCTTACGTCGCGGCCAAATGCTCTAGAGGGCGGGCGGGCGTCCACACGGACGCCCTCCTGGAGGAACTGGTCCGGGAGGCCCGCCTCGGCCGGGTCGTCGGCCCTTGCGCTGCCCTCGACCATTGGTCAGTGGCGACGGCGGCGCTGCCCTGGATGGCCGATATCTTCGCCGGCCGCCATTGGGCGACTGCTTCGCCGCCCTGTCCTTCGCCATCTGCCAGCTCGACGAGAACGGTGACCTTAAGCTGCGCCGGGGCGAAGATTGGCGACGCTCAGGCCACAACGCCGCCATGCGCGCGGAGGATGTGCCCACCCACCACTTCCTGGGCGACATCGTGGACTTCGTCCTGGCCGCCTGGTGCGAAGGATGGGACCCTAGGGTCTTCGGACACGACCTTCAGAATGCCTATCGCCAGTGGGCGGTGCGGTGCCCCGGTCATTGTGGGACGTTCCTCCCCACCGGGCGTCACGCTATGGTTCCACTACGCCATGTGCTTCGGCGCGGCGGCGAGCGTCTGGAACTTTAACAGGGCAGCCGACGCCGTCCAGATGCTCGGTGATCCTGGGCCACTTCGTCGACGACTTCAATGGCGCCGAGGACAGCAACACCGCCGAGTCCGCCCACAACGCCGTCGCCGAGTTCCCTCGGCCTCCAGACCAAACCCTCCAAGGCTGAGGCGCCTGACACCGCACATGTCGTCCAGGGCGTCCAGCTTCACATCGGGGCGGAAGGGGTCCGACGGAGGAGCGCCGGAAGAAGATCCTGGCACAGATCGACGAGGCGCTGGGGTCGGTTAGCCTATCGCCCGACGCGGCATCCCGGCTGGCTGGGCGCCTCACCTTCCTGTCGCAGTCCACCTTTGGCTGCACGGGGCGGGCCGCCATCAAGCCCCTCTATCCTGGGCGACCACGTCTTCTACGACTTCGGCGTCATCAAGCCCGAGCTCCTCCAGCCGTTCGCCGCCAGGAAGGCCTTCATCTACGTCCTGGAGATCCTCGCCCACAGGTCCTCCCCCTGGTCGTCTTCGCCCGCCGCCTGCCCCCTCACTGGATTGCCTTCATCGACAACGTCGCCGGGCAGTTCGCCCTCATGAAGGGCTACGGGAAGGACCCGGCGGTCAACGGCATTTTGGCCTCCTTCTGAGGGCTGGCGGCGGAGCGCCAATGGGCGCCTGACTTTTACCGCGTCCCGTCTGCGTCCAATATATCGGACAGGGGCGACGACTCCGTGGCTCGCC